CAATAGAGGATAGGCATGCAATATACTAAGGGGCTAAGCGAATTGTATGTCTCTTACTATGATTGTAAAATGGTGTAGTAGGTTCTTTGTGAGGTAAAAGGCCCAAAAAATATAATAGAATTATGTTTCTTACATTTTTCTGTTCAACCTGCAGGATCATCCAATCGCAAGTGGTTGTAGGGGACTACAATCAAAACATGAAGCCCACAAGGTATTTTTAAACGTTAAATATTGTTTAGGGAGAATTCTCAGAACAAAATAGAGTTGAGAGTATTCTCAGAACAGGGGAAGGTTTATTCTAGGATTCCATGATCCACACAGAACTGAAGTGTAGGGTTCTATTGTTGCTGTCGTTGTTTTAATGTCAATCATGTTAGTGAAAGTTTCCACATTGTGTGGACAATAATGTTTTTTCTAATAAATTCTAATCTACCCCAGGTAGCCACCGCTAGGGTTTCTGAGGAGGTTTTTAACACTGATTATGGAGCAAACTGGAATAAAGTTACGAAACAGCAGAGATCAGAGCGGGCCAGGCCAGGCCAACTAGGGAGGCCAATATGTAGGTCGATTCTCATAAGTTTAATGTTGATCATATCGGTCTATTCTGGCCAGAATACTTCAACCACAAAATATATGAACGTTTCTACAAGTACATTTTTTATATTACTCAAAAGTGCTAAGATATAAAAGATTGAGTTTCAAAGTTGAGTGAAATCACTGTACTACAAGTATCACACAGAACGATGTACTGTTGTGTTGAAGCTCAAACTCTTAACAAACTAACACTTCACTTTTAACAAACACGGTATAACTCAGGGTAGTAACATGGTAAAGCTTTAAAATGGCTGAAAATCACAACTCAATCCATCAAATAACAAAAACAGCCAAGAAACTAGGCACTGTGTCCAGAACAGATCTGTCCTAGAAGCAACTTTTCTAGCCCATTATTCTGTCTCACAGAGAAACAGAGACATGACTATGGGAAAATGTTGGCCTTGTCTTACTGTCAAATGCTAAATGTACACAATCTCACACTAGTCTTACACAGACAGCCACATCTTAACTTCAATCCAGATTTTATATGATAAAGATAATAAATGGATACTCACAGAAGACATTTGTAGATTTTTTATCTCCTATATTAATAAGTTCCTGAGAGGTTCTTCTTTCGGCATTAGCCTCCTCTCCACAGAGTCATATGAAAGTGCTTTCAATATTCACTGGGATTATGGTGAATTCAAATGAGCCATTGTTGTGTTCTCAGGACTAATCCAATGGCAGCCCAGGAATCTAACTCAAGGTGGATTACAGCGGTGTACTAACACTTGACCCTCACAGGCCCACCGCAAAATGGCACACAAGACGCTGAATTTACATCCACCTCTAGAATACGATAATTTCATATATGATAAGGCAATGTTGATAATATACTGTAGACCTAGCCTTAACCCTAGGCCACACTGCCACTAGCCAAGGACAAAGGGCTTACTAAACCCAACACTCAAGGCATTCATTCCTGGTTCTATGTACCCTACCGTTCAAACATTTGGGGTCACTTAAAAATGTCCTTGTTTTTTTCAAAAGAAAAGCAACATTTTTGTCCATTAAAATAACTTCAAATTGATCAGAAATCAGTGTAGACATTGTTAATGTTGTAAATGGCTATTGTAACTGGAAACGGCTGATTTTTAATGAAATATCTACATAGGCGTACAGAGGCCCATTATCAGTAACCATCAGTCCTGTGTTCCAATGGCACGTTGTGTTTGCCAATCCAAGTGTATAATTTTAAAAGGCTAATTGATCATTAGAAAACCCTTTTGCAATGATGTTAGCACAGCTGAAAACTGTTGTGCTGATTAAAGAAGCAATAAAACTGGCCTTCTTGAGACTAGTTGAGTATCTGGAGCATCAGCAATTGTGGGTTCGATTACAGGCTCAAAATGGCCAGAAACAAAGAACTTTCTTCTGAAACTCGTCAGTCTATTCTTGTTCTGAGAAATTAAGGCTATTCCATGTGAGAAATTGCCAAGAAACTGAAGATCTCGTACAACGCTGTGTACTACTCCCTTCACAGAACAGCGCAAACTGGCTCTAACCAGAATAGAAAGAGGAGTGGGAGGCCCCGGTGTACAACTGAGCAAGAGGACAAATACATTAGTGTCTAGTTTGTGAAACAGATGCCTCACAGGTCCTCAGGCAGCTTCATTAAATAGTACCCGCAAAACACCAGTCTCAATGTCAACAGTGAAGAGGCGACTCCGGGATGCTGACCTAGACAGAGTTGCAAAGAAAAAGTCCAGTGTCTGTGTTCTTTTGCCCATCTTAATCTTTTATTTTTATTGGCCAGTCTGAGATATGGCTTTTTCTTTGCAACTCTGCCTAGGTCAGCATCCTGGAGTCGCCTCTTCACTGTTGACGTTGAGGGAGAGAAAGTAGATCCTCTTAAGCTACTTGACAGCTTGGTTAACCTGATCAAGTCTGTGAGCAGCAGGGTGCTGAATCCACTGGCAAATGTTGATGTACTCAAAGGGCCAATAGATGGATACATCAGCCCCAAACCGTACCTTGGTTACCTTTTTGAGTCAAAGGCAGCTGAGCTCCACCTTGCGCCTGAGGATGAAAAAAATATCAGAAAGCGGTGTGTAACCTTCACCATGTCCCTCACTAATGAGTTGAGGGTGAGACTGCCGGACAACATCGAAGCATTGCAGTACATGTCAGTTTTCAATGTGGAGGAAACTCTAAAGCACAATAAGAGCCCTGGAGAAATAGAAAAAATAGCCAAGCTCCTTGGCTACTCCCCTGCAGAGATAGACAAGATTGTCCAGCAATGGCGTGCCATCCATCTTAGTAAATGGAATGAGACAAAAAAACACACTGGGCTTCTGGAGTGAGATTTGGAAGTTCAGGGATGCAGCTGATATCAACCCGTTTCAAGAACTTGCCATGGCTGCTGTGTCTGTGTTGTCCTTGCCACACTCGAATGCTGAAGTCGAGAGAGTATTCAGCCAGATGAGTGTGGTAAAAAGCAAACGTAGAAATCGGATGGCCTTGCAGACCGTTAACTCCATCCTGTACATTCGATATGGACTGAATCTGTCTGGTGAGGCTTGCTATGAGCACCAGCTGCCTGATAATGTTTTGCAGCTTTTTGGCATATCAGCTGCTTACTCATTTAAGTCAGCTCCCTCAGTTGCTGAACCTGCCATAGAGAGCCTTGACCAAAATGATGATGACCCACTCTTTCTGTGAGCCAGCACAGCCTGTGTGTGTGTGGAGGGGGGTCTGGAAAAAAAACTAAAATTAACCTGAATTAGGGCCAGACTAGTTAACATCATTTCCTCACATTGCCATTGACAGTTTTTTTTATTGTCTCTTTTTGGTCCATTTAGATTGTTAATGCCGATTGTATACAAAAAAATGTTTAAAATGTTCATGTTTTACTGTGACTTGTTGTAGGCTCCTAAGTGGACCATAAGGTTAAAAACCAAACTTAAGAAAACTAAACAAAAAAAATGTTTTAAAAACAGTTAAAAAAATTAAAAAATAAATTATAATAAGTAACTCCACCAGAGTGTCTCTTTTGGGTCACTTTTGCCAGTCCCAAGCCCGGATAAAGGAGGAGGGTTGGAATTGTGACATAAAAAAAAAAAAAAGAATCGACAGAATAAAGTTCATTTGTAGTTCTAATTTTCATATTTCGTTTTTACTTACTTTTTGTCTCTCCCACCACATTATTCCTCTCTCCTACAGCATCCATCACATTTACATGCACATGGCCAATTATGCAAATTTGGTGTAATCGGAGTAGATAGCCAGAGTGAATTTACAAAGTGATAATGCCCGAGAAGCTGGTGTTTGGAGGATATATGTACTCCTGAGTGGCGCAGTGTACTCCTGAGTGGCGCAGTGGTCTAAGGCACTGCATCGCAGTGCTAACTGTGCCACTAGAGATCCTAGTTCGAATCGAGGCTCTGTCGCAGCCGGCCGCGACCGGGAGACTCATGGGCCGCGCACAAGTCGTCTAGGGTAGGGGAGGGAATGGCCGGCAGGGATGTAGCTCAGTTGATAGAGCATGGCGTTTGCAACGCCAGGGCTGTGGGTTCGATTCCCACGGGGGGCCAGTATAAAAAAAATAATATATGTAATCACTAACTGTAAGTCGCTCTGGATAAGAGCGTCTGCTAAATGACGTAAATGTATATTGGCACGGGTGTTGTTAGGCCCGATACTTTTATACAACGGGTTACCAACATATTCAAATAATGATAGACATATTTTCATTAAACATTATTTTTATTAATTGATTTGCTAGAGACGCGACCCAGTCGTTCAGTCTTTTTGTTCTGTATCTATGGACGCGACCCAGTCGTTCGTTCTGAATGTTCCATTGCCAGTTCAGGCTTGCTAGTTAGCCAACTACGGCTAATTTATAGTCACGTGCAGCCCGAATAACAGCAAAGTAGCTTCATTTGCATTTGTTTAAGCTGTTTTCTAGTGATATTTATTTGGATACATCCATAACAATGAGCTAATGAGGCGCGATTTCGCCTGGCATAGAAAATGTGCTCACTCGTCAGGACAGTTGCGCTGAGGAGCTTGCCAACAATACAGCTACAGTAACACAATCACTTCAAACTGAAGCTGGAAAGACTGCAAATTAGCAGCGTTTCGTTTATATATATCCATAAAAATGATGCCAGCTGATTCATGATTTCGACTGGCTGAGAAACGCTGAGAAGTCTAAAAGAAATGTGAGATAACGTCTAGATGCTTTTTATAGTGGAGATCAAGTTTATAAATTGCCTTGCTGGGCTGATGAGACAGTGGATTGCGCAGTCAGATGTAACAGAGTAAATAGGCATTTGAACTTCATAGATTTAACGGGTGGCTATTTGTGGAATAGGCACCGGCTGGAATGCGGTTTCAACCAATCAGCATTCAGGATTAGACCCACCCCAACAATGTAAGGGTTTTTAATCAGACAGCGTCTGTCTGGCTCTGAAACACTGTAACAGTTTCCAGCGGGGGTCACTGGAGTACAAAACACATAACCTCTGTTTCTCCGCGCCTGCGTGGTGCTTCACAGCCATGTCACGGCTGGTGTTTTTATTAGCTAGTAGACAGACCGCCCTGGCCTTCCATTAAGATCTCATTTATCAGGGTCTAAAGACAAAACCATGGGGGACGAACAAGAGATAATGTGCAAACTAGAAAACATTATGGAAATACGGTAAAAAAAATAAAAACATAAAAACTTAAAAGAAACCACATCTGGTAAATATAGCTGGATGGCTCAGGAAAAGATTGGCTAGCCAGCTAATATTAGCGTCGCGGCTTTGTTATTGCGCTAGGAAGCTAGTTATATGTGCCGACATAGCCTCGAGCAAGGTTAGCAAGCGGTGGTGACCGTTCTACTGTTGTCTTGAAGGAACTGCAAGAAACTAGTTTTTGTTTTGCACGTTACAGAATAGCTTGCTAACTATGCATGATGCATAATCAATCCAGCTGTTTGCATCAACAAAAATCCAGATGCGAAGTGCTTTGCCAGATTAGCGGCTCTGGCTACTTCGCTAGCTAGCTTTCTGTCATTAGCCAGGTAGCTAATAATTGGCTAACCATGGTTGGTGGTCCCCCTAATGTCGGAGTTCATTCAGGTGGAAGCAGTCAGTATCATCAGTAACATCAGTAGAAAAAAAGACGTCTGGACTAGAATTACACCAGTTATAACAATGGCATGTGACGCACGTCCTATCTCTATTTCGGATATGCATGCATTATATTACTTATTTGCATGACAAATATTATCTCTACTTATTTCACAATAAACGAATCTATTGCAACAGCAATACAATAATATACCATCATGTCTGGGTTCTGGTCTCTTTAAAAAAAATATATGTTTATCTGAAGAGACTAACCAGGATAAATAAAGTAGAAACAATAGAAGATGCCTTAGGGCAATTGGTTTCTGAAGCATGATTGAGTGACGCGAAGTTGAACTGACAGAATGTTGTCTTTGTGCCTTCTGCCCTGTAATCAAAGTAACTAGTGCATTAGTAAATAGACCAGTGGTAGGTAACTACCTAATGTTGTATAATTGGTAACTAACTACTAGTGCATTTGTAAAGTACCTACTGTGTAACATTGGTAACTACTGTTTTACAGTGATAACTTAACTAGTAATGCATTGGTTAAACTGTGTTTTCAGGAATAAGACGGTACAGATGCAGAAGATCAAGACTCGTCTGAAGTCAGAGTTTGAGTCCCTGGAGTCTGAGGAGAAACATCTGAAGGAATACAAACAGGAGATGGACCTCCTACTGCAGGAGAAGATGCCCATGTACGAGAGCTACGACTCATACACGCTGATATCAACGTGGTGGTAGAGAGAGAGAGAGAGAAAAGGAGTGTGTGTGTGAGAGAGGAGAGACAGAAACCATTATTTGACTTCTAAATGCACAAACAGATTTTAAAGAGTAACTTTCATGAAAAAATATATATTTTTAATGGTAAACCAGATGTTTTAGGCTTAGTTATAGTAGTAAATCTAGCTACTTTCGCTCGTAGCGGTTCAACGGTTCGGTGATGAAATACACTCCCCTTCTAGATGTGCGGGGTGATACATACATTACGTCTAGCAGACGTCTATCAGAGCGATTCAATAGGTGATCACCTTATAGCCGGTTTACAATGTTTTTTTTGGGGGGGGGGGGGGGGGGTAGGGTTGATATTATCCATCCCAGGTATTCCTAAGGTGGGGTTCAAATGTCTGCGGAAGTGGTGAGTGATCCGCTGTCCTGGCGTCGTGAGGGAGCTTGTTCCACCATTGGGGTGCCAGAGCAGCGAACAGTTTTGACTGGGCTGAGCGGGAACTATGCTTCCGCAGAGGTAGGGGAGCCAGCAGGCCAGAGGTGGATGAACGCAATGCCCTCGTTTGGGTGTAGGGACTATCACCTCAAGGCTTACTATAAAAGCAGGTGACAGTGTGCCTTATTTGGCAATGGTCTTGGTAAGTGGAGTGTGCCAATATATTTTGATTGATGCTTCCTTGACTAGACTACTGACGTTACACAAAATTTAAAATGCAGTAAGGCACATTTACGCATATGACCAAATACAACGTTTTTGTTTACCGTTTCATACACATTTATGTGCTTTTAGGAGAAGAAAAAAACATGTAGGCTATGAGGATTACATGTTTGTATTCGTAGCTACATCCATCGTAACAAGAAATAGATGACAATGGTGGTCATATCAACTCGTATTTTTCCCCAACTGCCTTGGCTGATCGGTGTTGCAGTCCGCTAAAACAGTTGGCTCATAGTTCAATGGTTGTGAGCTCTAATCCCACATGGGGCATATTTTATTTACAACATTCCTCCTGTGCTCACACTCTTCTAATTCTGAAAAGTGAAAGCGTACCTGTGAGAGGAGTCGCCCTGGTAGTAGTTGTAGGTTTTTATACAGTACCCAAGACCAATCTGTGAGTTCATTTGACCATTGGAAGAAGAGCTAGTGCGTAAAGACTGCAATGCGGGTTGGATTGAATTGAGCCCTTAATCTTCATTTTCACTTCCAAACACAATACCTCAATAAATGTGCGTCCACATTTGAACTATTATTTTGCGCCCCATGGGGAATTCGAACTTACACCGCAAGTAGTAATAGATGTGTGGAACTCGGCACCTCACCACTGTCAGCTAACTGTTCAGAGCATTATTTGCTCGCGATGCACATCATTTTATTATCAGAGCGTGCCAGTGGACTTCTGGTAAATATGCTTTAGTGAGAAAGTGTTGGGATCAGGTGATCAACTATGTTTACCCATCCCCAAAATGAATATTTATGAGCAATTCCCTCACCCACAACTTGTCACCTGAATGCATTTTTGGAAAATGTGAAGGGGTTGGGCAAAGGCTGAAATTGGGGTTGAGTTAACCTTTAATAGTTTCTTATTTTTCTGTATCTCTCTCCTTCTCTCTCCCCTTCTCCTCCCCAGATGGAGAGCACTATAAAGCAGTCGGAGAACGACCTGAATAAGCTGCTGGAGACGACGCGGAGGCTTCACGATGAGTACAAACCCCTGAAGGAACATGTAGATGCCCTGAGGATGACCCTGGGCCTGCACAGACTGCCCAACCTCAACGAAGAGGAGGAGAAACTCTCTCTGGAGTCAGTACACACATATTATACACACACACACACGGTTGCACATACACACACACATCAACTTGTTCTCTGTGCTATCTTCTATCTCTGTTGCCATAGTTACTTTGAGAAGCAGAAGGCTGAGTGGCAGAAGGAGCCTCATGAGCCCACCATCCCAGAATCCCTTGCAGCAGCGGCTGCCGCGGCCCAACAGCTCCAGGTCTCCCGGAAACAAGATGCCCGCCAGACGGCCACCTTCAGACAACAGCCCCCTCCCATGAAGGTACACAGTACACACCCTCCTATGAAGGTACACACACATACACACATACACACACACTCCTCTCCCCTGTCTTTGTACCTACACAATAATGACACTACTGAAGTCTGTGTATTTACATAGTTATGACACACTATAACATCTCTGTTCTCTCCCCAGGCCTGTCTGTCATGCCACCAGCAGATCCATCGTAACGCTCCTATCTGTCCACTGTGTAAGGCCAAGAGTCGCTCCCGCAACCCCAAGAAACCCAAGAGGAAGCCTGATGAGTAGATACACAGATACAGACACACTCTCCTACTACCACCTCATATTGCTACATTTCACATCTGGAATGCAGTAACACGTCTTCATAACCTTCCCCATGCCATGGAACCTACGTTTAGTGTAATCGTCATTATCCTAAGTGTTTTATAAAAAATCAGTGCTCAAGTATTGAAATATAATTGTTAACCTTAACGTTTGATAGACCGTAACCATGTTAAATAAAAATGATTATACTGTAACTGTACCCATGTTGTGATTGGTTCTGGCAGTAGAAATGTAAAACGTACTGCATTCACGTTACTCTGTATTTAACACGTTTGCATTGCATGAACACTTTCCATGGCTGAACTATAATGACTGTGTTGGAATTGTTTGTGATATGAAAGTGGGTTCATTGTTGGAGCGTATAACCCGGGAAGTTGTTCTAATGTTTACTGAAGACCATAGGACTGAGAAAAGGACTGAGAAAAACCATGATGCTTACTTGCTTTTAACAGTGTTGTATGTGAAACTTTAATACAATAATAAAATATAAAAATGTATGTTTTGTACTGCAGTTGGAATTGTATTTTCTTCTAGACTTTAAGATTAATCTCATAATACAGATGATGAATGACACTCACTGTAGATCACACCCTGGGTCCCACAGGGAATATTTCAGATATGTCCACACGGTGATAGTGCCAGTACGAAGGTACCTTTAGCTTAGTTCTTGTACTGTCATCAAGAAGTCGTCAGGTTAACATTCTGGGCCTTCAAGATAACCCTTAATTGACATTCTGTTGACAGGTTACATCCAGATTCCTGTTCCGTCTCCAAGGTAACCCCAGGTTGCAGTGGCGTCTCCCTCTGGCCTGCAGTTGTTCCCAGATCCTGCTGGGGGCTTCAGAGGGCTTGGGGATGCTCCTCAGCAGCTCACCCAAAACACACACTGGGAGAATCTCATTTGCATACTTCTGGCATCCTCTCTCCTTGCCTCCTCAAAACCCATCGGATGAGAAAGCCAGAGGTCACTGCCCCTCTCCTCCAATCGGTTTAGAGAAGGAGGCTAGGAGAGAGGACTGAGGAGTATGCAAATGAGATTCTCCCACTGCGTCCTACAACACATGAAAACACAGATTAATTGACCTAAATATGCAATATTCTGTTCTCATAGGACTTATTTTTCTTGGGACTGTTTGCAGTTCAGAGGGCCGTTTAAGTGTACAGGAACATAAGGACAGAAACGGATTATAATAACATTGTAATCAGCAGGTACAGGACCTAAACAGAAAAGAACACAGATACTGTGAGCAGTCTGTACTGTACCATGTGTGTTGTACCCTGCTGCAGAGGTGTGTTGTGTTGTACCCTGTTGCAGAGGTGTGTTGTGTTGTACCCTGTTGCAGAGGTGTGTTGTACCCTGTTGCAGAGGTGTGTTGTGTTGTACCCTGTTGCAGAGGTGTGTTGTACCCTGTTGCAGAGCTGTGTTGTGTTGTACCCTGTTGCAGAGGTGTGTGTGTAGTACCCTGTTGCAGAGGAGTGTTGTGTTGTACCCTGTTGCAGAGGTGTGTTGTGTTGTACCCTGTTGCAGAGGTGTGTTGTACCCTGTTGCAGAGGAGTGTTGTGTTGTACCCTGTTGCAGAGGTGTGTTGTGTTGTACCCTGTTGCAGAGGAGTGTTGTGTTGTACCCTGTTGCAGAGGTGTGTTGTGTTGTACCCTGTTGCAGAGGTGTGTGTGTAGTACCCTGTTGCAGAGATGTGTTGTGTAGCAAACGGGGATCCCTAGTCAGTTGTCAACTGAATGCATTCAACTGAAATGCATCTTCCTCTGAATTAGAGAGCTGCGGGGGACTGCCTTAATCGACATCCACATCATCAGCAACCCGGGGAACAGTGGGTTAACTGCCATGATCAGAGGCAGAACGACAGATTTTCACCTTGTCATCTCAGGGATTTGAACCAGCAACCTTTCGGTTACTGGCCCAACGCTCCTACCCGCCAGGCTACCTGCCGCCTGTGGTCTATCCTCCAGTGTGTTAGTCTAGTTGAGTAATCTTACTCCTTATGAAGGTGTTCAGGGACAAGGCTGCCTGCTACTGCACACAAAACGCCACACACTGATGGGTCATGCAGCTGTGTCCACAGTCTTAACACACACACACACACACACACACACACTGTGTCAGTAAATGACAGCCAGTAGAGACATACAGCCAAAAGATAGTTATGTGAAGAGTAATATTATTTTACCTATCTCATCTCATCTCATCTCATCTGTGAATTTCTGGAGCTTCAGGACAGAGATGAGCTGTAGGGGGACTGGCTGGGTCCCATTCTGGAGCTTCAGGACAGAGATGAGCTGTAGGGGGACCGGCTGGTACCAGTATGGAGCTTCAGGACAGAGATGAGCTGTAGGGGGACTGGCTGGGTACCAGTCTGGAGCTTCAGGACAGAGATGAGCTGTAGGGGGACTGGCTGGGTCCCAGTCTGGAGCTTCAGGACAGAGATGAGCTGTAGGGGGACCGGCTGGGTCCCAGTCTGGACAGAAGGACAGAGATGAGCTGTAGGGGGACTGGCTGGGTCCCAGTCTGGTCAGAAGGACAGAGATGAGCTGTAGGGGGACTGGCTGGGTCCCATTCTGGAGCTTCAGGACAGAGATGAGCTGTAGGGGGACTGGCTGGGTCCCAGTCTGGACAGAAGGACAGAGATGAGCTGTAGGGGGGGACGGGCTTGGGTCCCCATTCTGGAGCTAAGGATAGAGATGAGCTGGTAGGGGGACTGGCTTGGGTCCCATGCTGTGAGCTTCAGGATAGAGTGAGCTGTAGGGGGACTGGCTGGGACCCAGTCTGGACAGGAAGGACAGAGATGAGCTGTAGGGGGACTGGGCTGGGTCCCAGTCTGGACAGAAGGACAGAGATGAGCTGTAGGGGGACTGGCTGGGTCCCATTCTGGAGCTTCAGGATAGAGATGAGGTTGGTGGGACTGGCTGGACCCATTCTGGCTCTGGATAGAGATGAGCTAGGGGATCTGGGCCCATGAGGTGAGACAGACAAGATGCGTAGGGGGACTGGCTGGGTACAGAGAATGAGTGTAGGGGACTGGCTGGGTCAGGACAGAAGACAGAGATGAGCTGTAGGGGGACTGGCTGGGTCCCAGTCTGGACTTCAGGACAGAGATGTAGCTGTAGGGGGACGGGCTCGGGTCCCAGTCTGGAGCTTCAGGACAGAGATGAGCTGTAGGGGGGGACTGGCTGGGTTCCAGGGCGGAATCTGGGTTCCATTCTGGAGCTCAGGACAGAGATGAGCTGTAGGGGGACTGGCTGGGTCCCATTCTGGAGCTCAGGGCAGAGATGCTTTTGGGGGGTTTCTGGCTGGGTCCCAGCCCTGGACAGAAGGACAGAGATGAGCTTAGGGGCGGGCGGGTCCCGTCTGGACGCAGGACGGATGAGCTGTAGGGGAAGGCTGGGACCCATTCTGGAGCTTTCAGGACAGGTGAGCTTTTAGGGGGTCTGCGGGGTCCCCGTTGGACAGAAGGACAGAGTTGAGTGTGGGGACTGCTGGTTCCAGTCTGACGAAGGACAGATGAGCTGTAGGGGACTGGCTGGTCCATTTTTGAGTTCAGGATAGAGATGAGGTGTAGGGGGACTGGCTGGGACCCATTCTGGAGCTTCTGGATAGAGATGAGCCGTAGGGGGACTGGCTGGGTCCCATTCTGGAGCTTCAGGACAGAGATGAGCTGTAGGGGATGGTGGGCCAGTCTGGACAGAAGGACAGAGATGAGCTGTAGGGGGACGGGCTGGGTCCCAGTCTGGACAGAAGGACAGAGATGAGCTGTAGGGGGACTGGCTGGGTCCCAGTCTGGACAGAAGGACAGAGATGAGCTGTAGGGGGACTGGCTGGGACCCAGTCTGGACAGAAGGACAGAGATGAGCTGTAGGGGGACCGGCTGGGTCCCATTCTGGAGCTTCTGGATAGAGATGAGCTGTAGGGGGACTGGCTGGGTCCCAGTCTCTTGCAGGGTCCAGACTCTCTCGCTCTCTGCTGTCTACTCCTCTGCAGCTCTTTTTCCTGTCTCTCCCTCTGTCCTTTAGGGTTTGGGGGCTTCCCTCTCCTCTCTTGGTTCTGTTTTCTGTGTACTTGTATGATCATCCTCCTACAGGTCTCACTCTGCAACCGCTGCCTCCCCCTCCCTCCCTCCCTCCCTCCCTCCGAGGGCTGCTCTCTCCCCCCCTCTCCTCCTGGCTCTCTCTCCTCCCCCTCTAGCCTGCAGTTTCTGGGTTCAGTTGATTGTTGATCTGTGTTATCATTCTCCTGCTGTAGATCTCCAGTGCCTCGTCCTCCTCCGTACCTAGGTCATAGAAAAGGCCTTTTTCACGCCGCCGGAAATGCCACTTCCAGTCTTGGGAACCCAACTTCCGCCAACATGGCACTGCATTTGTTTACGAGGTTGCAAACATAACTTTTTTTTAAACGGCAACAGGTTAAGGGTCCACGGGCTCAATAGACTAAATGTACCCTCATATGAGGAATAAGGTATTGCGATACAGTACTGAAAATAGTGTTTTGAAACGGGCACCAAATCGCTAAGTCCCCCTGCCAGGAATAATACCAATACAAATAATAACTGACAAAAAATCATCAGTACCATGTCAGACCTGCTGAAATGGCAAAAAAAGTACAAAGTATGAACACAAGAGAATCAAATGTAACGGTTCTTCAAGTCTTATAGACATGGACAGCCCACTAAAAGAGCACATTATGACCCATCTAGAGAACAAAACAATGATGCCAGAGAATCACTGCAGAAGATAAATTATATTTAAAGCAAGACGATGGCCACGCATTTTTCAAATCAGAATCTTATATAACCATACCAAAAACAAACATTTTCCATAACCAGGCAAAAAAAAAGGCAATAAGAAAGGATATGTAAATAACAAAGTAAACAGCTGGTCTTCCAGAAGAGTGCCAGTCAGTCATTAATGGAACCTGTATTTGCGTGCGGGTTTGATGCTGACGTAAGTCTTCTTCACCTCCTCCGGCTCCTCTTTCTTCACCAGTTGGTACCGCTCCCCTTTTGTGGTCACCACCTGGTTGCTGTGGTAACGCACCAGTTTCTTGGGGGCATCTTTAGGTGCAACAGGCCTGTGTGTTTTCTCATCCTCCTCCCTGTCCACTAGCATGTACTTCTCCAGGATGCTCTCTTTCATCTTCTGCTCTGCCTGAGGGGAAACCATCTTCCCATAGTTAACGGTGAGAGGTGTGGGGCTGAGCTGGATGTCTCCTTCGATGATGAGGCGGACAGCCTCCTCCATGTCACCTTTAGCAATGGACAAGGCACTCCTGGCCTCTGATAGGCTGCACTTGGGGAACATCTCCAGCAGGAGAGACTCCTGAGCCTCCCACTCAGAGAATGGAACCTTGGCAGTGGCCCCCTCAGTCTGTGCAGTAAGGCAGTGCTTCTCTCTCACTGGAGACCCAGTGGAGGTAGCACTGACTGTCAGTGGGACCTCCATTCTAGCCTTAGGCACACTATTTTCTGAACTCCGGGCTGCAGCTAGTTTTGAAGCCAGGCTGAACATCATATCACAAACTTTAACACTGTCGATTTCAGCAAAGCCAGGAATGTAGGCCTCCAGCATTTCTACAAAGACCTCCACGTCAAAGTTCTCCTCCACACTCTCCTGAGAGCCCAGATCCTCCAGGACTCCAGTGATGTAGGAGAGCAACACATCATCCAGGGAACTCAGATCTGCATCGGGAATGTATGTCTGAATGAACTCCTGCAGGGTATCGTGGATTATCTTGTGATGGTCCATAATGGGCTCAAACCCTGTTAACAAAAACAATACAACATTCAGATTGATTCAAATGTGACGACGGAAATAAAAGGGACTGCGAATTATGCCCCTTTAATCGAACTGTATCACGAATGCATTACGAATAGATGATGGCTAGCTAGAATTTCATACATAAACTGAATGGTACAGTACCGGCGACCGCTACGAAGCAGGCAAGAATGGCTAACGTAACTTCGGCTTTCAAAGGTTGACCAAACCGAACTAATATCAAAGACAGTGGCCACTATGATGTAGCTATTATTTTCAGGATTCTCTGATCGATTGACGAACAACTGAATCACGCAATCAGAAGAGATGACAAAGGTCGGATTGACGCTAACTATGTAGCTAAACTGGCTAACTAGCTGTACTGCTGCAGAACATCAAGCTAGCTAGCCCAAACGAACAACGTTATAGTAAAGTGCAACAAAAACTAAAACGTACAAATCTAACCTTATACGTGGAAGAAAGGAAATGTTGGCCCAATTGTGTGTCCCCAAACTGTGTGATTAATTAGCTAGCTATGAGATTATAAAGACTGCTAGCAACTCAAACGTTCTGCACACGCAAAACCACAACAAAACAACATAAAAGAACGAGTTTAGCGCTGTTAACAATGATTCCTTACCGCCACCTAGCGTACTGGAGTGGGATTAGATCATGAAGCTGCTCCAAAAAAGAAACAATTCCGATTTCGCTTATGTTATCTCATATTACTAAATGTTATGGAAAAATATAACCTGCACGTGTCTTTTCTTACTGGCACTGACTTTGCTGATAACTACTTTGAGGGAAAATGTACTTACTACGACTGTGATGTGGTTGTATCACCTAGCTACCTTAAAATTAATGCAGTTATTGTAAATCGCTCTGGATAAAATCGCCTGCTAAATGACTGTAATTACACCAGCAGATCCATCGTAACGCTCCTATCTGTCCACTGTGTAAGGCCAAGAGTCGCTCCCGCAACACCAAGAGGAAGACTGACGACACACACGCACCACCTCATCTTGCTACATTTCACATCTGGAATGCAGTAATACATGTCTTCATAACCTTCTCCATGCCACGGAACCTACGTTTAGTAATATCTTCATTTATCCCCAGTGTTTACTTTTTTAATCAGTGCTTGAGTGTTGAAATGTAATTGTTAACCTTATATTAGGTTTGATAGAACCTAACCATGTTTAATGCAATAAAAAAAACAAAAAAACATTAACATTTAAATACTGTAACTGTACTCATGTTGCTATAGCTGATGAATGCTAAACTCCGCTTACATCGAGATAACTGGTCGCGCGATTTGCTAGCAACAACATTAAGTCACCATCAGCTGATACTTGTAAAAATGCACATTCTGAGAATGCTTACATGTACCTATGTTTGTCCTGTAATTCGGAAAGTATTCAGACCAGTGGCGGCTCCTGAAAAAATTCTCAGGGGGGGGCAATTTTTCTGATGATTTAGGTGACCTACACACATTTAAAAAAAGATATGTCCAGCAACAACATGAAGACAGGGGCAGCATATAAGTCAATACCAGAAGCATTTATTGACTGATCTCAAAAGTGTTGGCTTACCAGGGTTGGTGGAGCCCTCAGTTTCATCTTTGCCTCGCAAAGCTAACTCAAACACTCCGCAAAACTTCACACACTGGATTAGCCGGCTGAGGATGTGGCGGTTCTTGCTAATGTCGTAGTAAATATATTTGTTATAGTGAATATGGAATATGATATGTTGAGTAAAATGTTGTGCTAAGATCTATTTAGGTCAGGAGCTGGTTATAAGTTCTGTTCCTATCCAATAACAATGGACAAAAGGGTCCTATCTTGTCAGCCTTGTCAGTTTCAGTTCTCCAGTAAACTTGTGATTATCAACACTAACCTCATCGTTGTGGCGGCGGACAGCTAGCCTGTATCCCTCATCCAGTTGAGTGGGAATGTTCACTCTCCCCAAAGCAGACAATCTCAAACAGCTATCCATGTGGGTCTTTGACAGCTCATGTTTCTTAATCTTTCCTGAAAGATGGTGCATGTCCGTTACACACCAGTCGCTGTCCAAGCGGTGCTGTCTGCCGTGCCGCCTTCAGGGTGAAAGAGTAAGCAGGGGGTAGCAGAAGACTGCATTAGCTACATCGCAGCCTGCTAGCCAGGTTTTTCGTTCGTACCAATTTTTGGAAAATCCTCGGGTGTAGGACTTCCCCCCTTTAGTAGAAACCTGTTGAATTATTAAATTTGGTCTGGGAGGTCCTAATTGTTTCGTTGCCAATTTATCTTCATTTGTTCGCCGACAAAAAGGAACTTCTTTCAAAGACACAATCGAGTTGCACTGAAGCCTAGCCATTTTGATAGTAGTAATGAATTGATTGTCGCTGCTACCCGCTCTTTTCTTAGTTACGTTCATGGTTATGTTACGTATGACGAAAGCGCGTAAGTGCAAGCCCTCAGAAACCCATAGAGATTGTATTGAAAGCTCTGATATTTGAAAAAAATAGATTTTACATGGGAGTCTATGACAGACTTCTGGGCGATTTTCAACCTGACTGAAATCGCCCCAAAAGGGGGGGGGGGCCATTTGAAGCACGACTTTAGCCTGATTGGACATTTAGTGGCACTGTGGCAGATCAGACGTCTAGATTACAACACTGATAACTACTGTTGCCGTGATATAATTGATTAGAAAAAAAATCCCTTCCTTTTCCCGTTTGGCAGTGCGTCGCCCATATCGCCCTATTGAACACACCGCCCCTGATTCAGACCCCTTCACTTTTTCCACATTTCGTTATTCTAAAATGGATATATATATATTTTTTCCCATCATACTACACACAATACCCCATAATGACAATGCAAAACAGGTTATTAGAAACTTTTGCAAATGTATTACAAATCAAAAACTGAAATATCACATTTACTCAGTACTTTGTTGAAGCACCTTTGGCAGTGATTACAGCCTCGAGTCTTCTTGGGTATGACGCTACAAGCTTGGCACACCTGTATTTGGGGAGTTTCTCCCATTCTTCTCTGCAGATCTTCTCAAGCTCTGTCAGGTTGGATGGGGAGCGTCGCTGCACAGCAATTTTCAGGTCTCTCCAGAGATGTTCGATTGGGTTCAAGTCCAGGCTCTGGCTGGGCCACTCAAGAACATTCAGAGACTTGTCCCGAAGTCACTCCTGTGTTGTCTTGGCTATGTGCTTAGGGTCATTGTCCTGTTGGAAGGGGAACCTTCGCCCCTGTCTGAGGTCCTGAGCGCTCTGGAGCAGGTTTTCATCAAGGATCTCTCTGTACTTTGCTCCGTTCATCTTTCCCTCGATCCCGACTAGTCTCCCAGTCCCTGCCGCTGAAAAACATCACCACAGCATGATGCTGCCACCACCTTGCTTCACCGTAGGGATGGTGCCAGGTTTCCTCCAGACGTGACGCTTGGCATAGGGAAAATGATGCCATTTCTGCTATGCTCACAGTCACACGGCCAGCATGAGGGTACCGTTAGCTCAGTTCTTGTACTGTCGTCAGGGTAACCCCAGATTCCTGTTCTGTCGCCAAGGTAACCCCAGGTTGCAGTGTGCGTCTCCCCCTGGCATGCAGTTGTTCCCAGATCCTGCTGGGGGCGTCAGAGGGCTTGGGGAGTCCCCTTAGGATCTCTCAGAATAGACACACAGCGTCCTACAACACATGAGAACACAGGTTACTTCATCCACTACACACCATATTTTTTTTCAGGGACTGTTGGTAGTTTAGATGGTCATTTCAGGACAGAAACTGAAAATAATAACATAGCTAAGCAGGGAATGTATTGACAAGACAGAAGTAGGAAGGAACACTGCATGTGAAGAGCCTGTATTCCATGTGCAGTCTGTCTTCCTGTGTTGTACCCTGTTGCAGAGGTGTGTTGTACCCTGTTGCAGAGGTGTGTTATGTTGTACCCTGTTGCAGAGGTGTGTTGTGTTGTACCCTGTTTGGCTTCCTGCTGCTGCACACACACTCCACACACTGATGGGTCATACAGCTCTGTGTCCACAGTCTTAACACACACACACAGAGACACACACACTGTTATGTGTGTGTCAGTAATTGCTGCAGCCAGAGTTAGCCTCACCCCCATAGAGCAATACGGCTGAGCGATACAATGAGACTAAGCCACAGTAGACCCACCAGAACAGATACAATTCCTATGCCCAGACAAAGTGTATGTCTCACCCGTCTCATCTCCTCTGTGAAAGTCTTCATCTTCAGGGCAGAAATGAGCTGTAAAGGGACATGCTCGGGTTGAAGCTGGGGCTCTCCGGAAAGGTCCTCACACTCCCTCTGTCTCCACCCCTCTTTACCTTCTGCCTCTCTCTCCTCTCACTCGCTCGCTGCTGTAGTTTCTGTGTTCTGTTTTCTGTGTACGTGTCTGATCATCCTCCTACAGGTCTCACTCTGCAATTCCAGCCTCCCCCTCCCTCTGGGGGCTGCTCTCTCTCCTCCCGATTCTGGGTTAAGTTGTTTGTTGACCTGTGTTATCATTCTCCTTCATTAGATCTCCAGTGCCTCGTTCTCCTCCGTACCTAGGGCCAATAAAAATACCCTTTTCAACCGCCGGAAAAGCCACTTCCAGTCTAGGAACACAACTTCCGGCAACATGGCGCCGCATTTGTTTAACAGTACGAGGTCTTTAACGTAACTTCGGCTTTCAAAGGTTGAACAAACCGTCCTAATATCAAAAACAGTGGCCACTATGCGATATTATTTTCAGGATTTTTGGATCAATTGACGGCCAACTGAATTACGTAACGAAAGGAGTTGACGAAAGTCGGATTGATGCTAGCTAACGTTAGCTGTACTGCTGCAGACCATCTAACGTTTAGCCTCAACGAATATAGTAAAGTGCACGAAACTACAACGTACAAGTACAAATCCAACCTTGTACGTGAAAGAAAGAAAATGTTGACGCAATTGTGTATCCCCAAACTTTGTGATGAATTAGCTAGCTATTAGAATAAAAATACGGGGGGCCAGTATGAAAAATGTATGCACTCACTAACTTTAAGTCGCTCTGGATAAGAGCGTCTGCTAAATGACTAAAATGTCAATGTAAATGTACTTTAGCTAGCTAGCTACACACCCAAAACTACAACAGAGCAACCATTTTCTACTTGCGAGGGCAGTGCTGCTAACAATAATTATTCACCGCCACCTAGCGTAGTGGGGTGGGATAGATGAAGAGGGTCCAAAAATGAAAAAGTTCAAATTTTGAAATACTTTTAGCTAACCTCAGTTTATCTGCCTGCTTACATTATTTCATATGACAAAATGTAATGTTAATCATGATTCTTTATGATATTATATTATATTATAGTATACTTTATTGCCTGCATATATTTTATTGTAGAAACGTATAATATAGGCAGGCATAACTAAACTACGAAAGCAGGCCTACTTTGAGAAATTGGCTACATTTTCAGTTCAGTTATAAGGACAAAGTAATCTAAGCTATAAGCAAACAATGGTTACATCAAATAATTTCCCTTCCCTGTGTTTTTGAGAGTCGGAAACAGACTTCACCTCCCAAAATGCCTGGAATGTGTAGATCTAGTGGGGGCAGGTAGCTTAGTGGTTAAGAGTGTTGTGCCAGTAACCGAAAGGTCGCTGGTTCTAATCCCCGAGCCGACTAGGTGAAAAATCTGTCGATGTGCCCTTGAGCAAGGCACTTAACCCTAATTGCTCCTGTAAGTCGCTCTGGATAAGAGTGTCTGTTAAATGACTAAAATGTAAATGTAAGATGCATGCCATACTTCTACAAATGCAGAGGTCTTCTTGATCATGGTTCTGGGGGCAGGGCAGGGCTGTGTGAACAGCTGATAGTCTAAAACAGCCAGTCAGACAGCTGCAGACAGGCTATAAGATGGTTGCCAGTAACAGTGTAAACTAAAGGCATGGTGGTGATGACAGGCCTGTTACACGTCAGCACAAAGCATTTCACTTATAGGATTTCAATACACACTTACACTCTTTAAAAAAGTTACTTTCTGTGAGCATGGCAAGCTGAAATGAAAATAGACTGAACTAAGCCTGATTTCAGATCACACATCTGATGACATATTTGCTGGTACAGTAGTCTAGTGGTGTATTTCTACTACTGACCATCAGTTATAGAACACCAGAGAGTACCAAGGCCCCTGCGCACCAACCAAACTCTCAGCCTGAGTGTCAGTGTCACTAGTCTTATCACCAATCTAATTATAACCCCCGCAGTTCTCCAAGAATGGAAGTTTAGGTAGGTCCATCTGTGTGCCTAAAAATAGCCCCCCAGCCAGCCAGACCCCCTCTCTGCTCTGCTGTGTTAGACAGCAACACACCCGCGGGCACAAACACCACGCCCCCCCCACCCCCCCACCCCAGCTCTCAGACCCCAGTCCCTGTGTGGATCCAGCAACACATTCCTCCTGGAGTCTTCTCCTCTTCTTCCACGTGACCGACGGACCATGGAGTTATTAAAGAGTGGAAAGTGTTTACTACCAACGTCCTGATTAACATTGTTGGCAGAGAGATCACTGGTTGGTGACCCTGTGGGTGAGGTAAGTGGAAAGCATTGTTAACCACCATTTGCTGGGTCTCTGGACCATAGTAGCTATAGCAGGAGTTAAATGGGGAACGGGATTCTGTCTGGGTTGGAAGTTTGTAACAGTCCCCAAATCGGTTGCTTAATCCATCTTCACATTATGCCCTCTCTGCCAACTTGTGCAAACCCATATGGTGAAGACTTATATTTAACTAATTTAACACTTACATTGAAATGTCTATTTCATTAAGTGTTCATCCCACTTGGCTTCCAATAACACATTTACAGATGTCTGACAATAAATGAACTGAATTTGAAAAAAGGTTCATATATAATACTGTGCATTGGGCTCTATGTAGAGTGTTAGAGAGAGAAGCTTATAACACAAACATTCACAGCAATGAAGTGGCCTATCTATACCTGTCTATTATCTATTCCTGTCTATGATCTATTCCTTTCTATCTATTCCTGTTTCTATCTATTCCTGTTTCTATCTATTCCTGTCTATGATCTATTCCCTGTCTCTATCTAGTCCTGTCTCTATCTATTATTGTCTCTATCTATTCCTTTATATTATATATTCCTGTCTATGATCTATTCCTGTTTCTATCTATTCCCTGTTTCTATCTATTCCCTGTTTCTATCTATTCCTGTTTCTATCTATTCCTGTCTATTATCTATTCCCTGTCTATATATTCCTGTATATTATCTATTCCCTGTCTCTATCAATTCCCTGTCTATTATCTATTCCCTGTCTCTATATATTCCCTGTCTCTATCTATTCCCTGTCTCTATCTATTCCCTGTCTCTATCTATTCCCTGTCTCTATCTATTCCTGTCTATTATCTATTCCTGTCTATTATCTATTCCCTGTCTATTATCTATTCATGTCTCTATCTATTCCCTGTCTATTATCTATTCCCTGTCTCTATCTATTCCTGTTTCTATCTATTCCTGTCTATTATCTATTCCCTGTCTATCTATTCCTGTATATTATCTATTCCCTGTCTCTATCTATTCCCTGTCTATTATCCATTCCCTGTCTCTATATATTCCCTGTCTCTATCTATTCCCTGTCTCTATCTATTCCCTGTCTCTATCTATTCCCTGTCTCTATCTATTCCCTGTCTATTATCTATTCCCTGTCTCTATCTAATCCCTGTCTCTATCTATTCCCTGTCTCTATCTATTCCCTGTCTATTATCTATTCCCTGTCTCTATCTAATCCCTGTCTCTATCTATTCCCTGTCTATTATCTATTCCCTGTCTCTATCAATTCCCTGTCTATTATCAATTCCCTGTCTATTATCTATTCCCTGTCTCTATCTATTCCCTGTCTCTATCTATTCCCTGTCTATATCTATTCCCTGTCTCTATCTATCCCCTGTCTCTATCTATTCCCTGTCTCTATCTATTCCCTGTCTATTATCTATTCCCTGTCTCTATCTATTCCCTGTCTCTATCTATTCCCTGTCTCTATCTATTCCCTGTCTCTATCTATTCCTGTCTATTATCCATTCCCTGTCTATCTATTCCCTGTCTCTATCTATTCCCTGTCTCGATCTATTCCCTGTCTCTATCTATTCCCTGTCTATTATCTATTCCCTGTCTCTATCTATTCCCTGTCTATTATCTATTCCCTGTCTCTATATATTCCCTGTCTCTATCTATTCCCTGTCTCTATCTATTCCCTGTCTATTATCTATTCACTGTCTCTATCAATTCCCTGTCTATTATCTATTCATGTCTCTATCTATTCCCTGTCTATTATCTATTCCCTGTCTCTATATATTCCCTGTCCTGGATCCGGGTGGGGTTCGCCTGTCTCTATCTATTCCCTGTCCTATTATCTATTCCCTGTTCCTATACGTAAGTCCCTGTCTCTATCTATTCCCTGTCTCTATCTATTCCCTGTCTATTATCTATTCCGCTGTCTCTATCAATTCACACCTGTCTATTATCAATTCCCTGTCTATTATCTATTCCCTGTCCTATCGATTCCCTGTCTCTATCTATTCCCTGTCCTATATCTATTCCCTGTCTCTATCTATCCCCTGTCTCTTATATATTCCCCCTGTCCTCTATCTATTCCCTGTCTATTAATCTATCTATTCCCTGTCTCTATCTATTCCCTGTCTATTATTCTATTCCCTGTCTTTTTTATCTTATTCCCTGTCTCATCTATTCCCTGTCTCTATCTATTCCCTGTCTTATCTATTCCTGTCTATATCATTCCCTGTCTATCTATTCCCTGTCTCTATCTATTCCCTGTCTCTATCTATTCCCTGTCTCTATCTATTCCCTGTCTATTATCTATTCCCTGTCTCTATATATTCCCTGTCTCTATCTATTCCCTGTCTCTATCTATTCCCTGTCTATTATCATTCCCTGTCTCTATCTATTCCTGTCTATTATCCATTCCCGTCTATCTATTCCTGTCTCTATCTATTCCCTGTCTCTATCTATTCCTGTCTATATCTATTCATGTCTCTATCTATTCCTGTCTATCCATTCCCTGTCTATCTATTCCTGTATATTATCATTCCCTGTCTCTATCTATTCCTGTTCTATATATTCCCTGTCTCTATCTATTCCCTGTCTCTATCTATTCCCTGTCTATTATCCATTCCCTGTCTCTATCTATTCCCTGTCTCTATCTATTCCCTGTCTCTATCTATTCCCTGTCTATTATCCATTCCCTGTCTCTATCAATTCCCTGTCTATTATCCATTGCCTGTCTCTATCTATTCCTGTTTCTATCTATTCCCTGTCTCTATCTATTCCCTGTCTCTATCTATTCCCTGTCTATTATCCATTCCCTGTCTCTATCTATTCCCTGTCTCTATCTATTCCCTGTCTCTATCTATTCCCTGTCTATTATCCATTCCCTATCTCTATCTATTCCCTGTCTATTATCTATTCCCTGTCTCTATCTATTCCCTGTCTCTATCTATTCCCTGTCTATTATCTATTCCCTGTCTCTATCTATTCCCTGTCTCTATCTATTCCCTGTCTCTATCATAATTATATATTCCCTGTCTATCTATCTATTCCCTGTCTCTATCTATTCCCTGTCTCTATCTATTCCCTGTCTCTATCTATTCCCTGTCTATTATATATTCCCTGTCTCTATCTATTCCCTGTCTCTATCTATTCCCTGTCTCTATCTATTCCTGTCCCGAAGCACAGATGAGCCCTGGCTGGTACAAACCCAGTCAGTTTAGTTATGCCTGTGTGTCTGTATTCTCCCTGTCTTTGTCTGATGCTGGTGACAACACCAATTTTCCCTCAGAGGATCTATAAAGTTTATTCATTAATTTAATTATAGCCCCCTCCTCTCTCTCTCTCTCTCTCTCTCTCTCTCTCTCTCTCTCTCTCCTCTCTCTCTCTCTCTCCTCTCTCTCTCTCTCTCCTCTCTCTCTTCTCTCTCTCTCTCTCTCTCTCTCTCTCTCTCCTCAGATTGGGGAGTTGTAACGGTTACATCTATAGTACCAGTATGGTCCTAGACCGTATCAACACACCCACCAACGCTCTCAAAATGAGTCTAATGGACGTCTCCAAGATCTTCTCTCTGCTTCAGCCCAAGGAAGAGGATGAGGAGGACAGTGAGCATGGCCAGGTAAAACCAATGAGCTTGCAGTGCTTTGTAACTTAGCAACCTATCACTGGGACAGCATCAGTAGACTTGCACAGCATCAGACTCACTGGGAAGATTGTAAGGGGGTGACTTCCCAAGTCTACATGGGTGTGACCTAACCAGGGTCGTATTCATTAGGAACACCGTAGCAAAACGTTTCAAAATTATGTCCAACAGAAAACAAGCATATCTTATTGAACAAGTTTAGATAGTACCTCCCTGTTTCTGTTTTCTTTTGTTTTGAGTGTGGTGAACACATTTACATTTTAGTAATTTAGCAGACGCTCTTATCCAGAGCGACTTACAGTTAGTGAGTGCGTACATTTTCATACTGGCCCCCTGTGGGAAACGAACCCACAACCCTGGCGTTGCGAGCGCCATGCTCTACCAACTGAGCTACAGGGGACTATACCACCCAGCAGTGCAACCCAATAACACTGTGTCTATGGTACATGGATGTATAATACTCCTCTGTTCCCCAGGCTCTGAACCAGGCGGTGAGCAGTGATGACGTGGTGGTGTTAGCTGAGCTGTTATCCCAGGAGAGCTACAGAAGGAGTATCAACAGCAGAAGTGGCTGGGGGATCCCTGTTACCCCCCTACGGACCGCCGCAGCACATGGCCACCTGAGGTGTCTGGAACTGCTGCTGGAGCACGGAGCCGAGGTGAGATATGGTGATAGAATACCTTGGCCTAGCTTCTCCAACTGACGCCTACTCCTGACATGGACTAAAAAAAACATGGTTTATTTTAGTCTGCACTTTTAGAGTTAAGGTTGATTCAAACAACAGTCATTTACTCTATGCTACTGTATAAGCACGTCGTGACAACTGCTGATGTAAAAAGGGCTTTCTAAATAAATGTGATTTAGCCTATTGATTAATTCTTGTTTGGTGATTGATTGGTTTTGCAGGTGGACAGTCTAGATGTGAAGGCCCAGACCCCTCTGTTTACCGCGGTCAGTGGTAAACACCTGGACTGTGTTGTGGTCTTACTAAAGGCTGGAGCCGACCCCAACGGCAGCCCGTACAACAACTGTTCCCCGGTGCTGACCGCCGCCCGCGAGGGAGACGTGGAGGTCCTCAGGGAGCTGCTTCAGTTCGGAGCCGAGGTCGACGTCTGGCCCAAAGTCCCTGAGTGGGCCTCCAACGCCACAGCCTGCAGGGGACCCCTGTACATATCCGCTGTATATGGACACCTGGACTGCTTTAAACTGCTGCTGCTCCATGGGGCTAATCCTAACTATAACTGTAAGTCAGAGAAGATGCTGGCCAGGATCAAGCAGCCCAAGACGGTGCTGGAGATGTGTCTGAGGTATGGCTGTGGAGTGGAATACATACAGCTGCTCATAGACTTTGGGGCAGACGTGTATCTGCCCACGCTGATTATTGACAAGACCACCAAGCAGAACGAAGCCGTGGTGCTGCTGCTCAAGGAGAGAGGTGAGAACAACACACACACACTTGTTAAACATTTGTTTTATATTTGTTAAACATTTGTTTCATATTTGTTAAACATTTGTTACAGATTTGCTACATTTCTTGCACATAAGTTATACATTTGTTACATATTTGACTGTCACATATTCCGTCTGTTCTGTATCTCTAAGTGATTGATGGTTGTTAATGATCAGAACTTTGGAGCGTTTAACAAGAACCTCTTCTGTGTTTTATGTCCAGTTTGTCCCAATACTCTGATGTCACAGACACGGCTTGCGATTCGGAGCTACCTCCCCATGGTTAACAAAATGGCGTCCATAGACCGCTTGGACATTCCCCAGATACTGAGGAACTACCTGAAACATCTCACCTGACCTCTAACTCCTTATCTCTGAACTCTGTGTGAAGATGATGTCGTGAATGGATATCCTATATGGCTGTGTCTCAATAGTCTACAGTGGATTCCTCTGCTTCATCTCCACTGTTCTGAAAACACATATATGGAGGAGGATTTCTGCAAAACTTAAACAAAAGTGCAACAATTTCATACCATCCTCCACTGTCTCTACTGAGTGCATCATGGGCAGCAAAGTCCAGTTTGTTCTGTTTTTATTGTAAGTGTGATTAATAATTATACCAAGTTTGCCTTTGAATAGCTGTAGAGGTTTTATTCGAATAAACATATTTATTTAACTTCATCTCTGTGATTGAATTCAGCAAATTGTGTTTAAATGTAATCATTGGAAATTGGTTGAAGGCTGCTGAAACTATGGTGAAGACACTGCCCTCTCCTGGACAGTTATATGAGAGGAGCCCACAAAGCTTCAGGAGAAACATTTGGTAAGTGTAAAACCACGAGTAACCACTAGGTGTCACACTACCCCTGTAAATGTATTCTCCATCTATGAAATCACTGCTCACCGTCTGCAAGTAATCTTCAGTCAAACTAAAAACAATGTCATTTGCGCAATCTCGCTCACATTATGAGTGACCTTGCTGAAGACTGAAGTTAGTTCCCTAAGTTAATTCCTAGGCTTTAGCTCAGTGACACAGTCTTGTGGAGCGCAAGAGACTCAGGTTCAAACCCAGGTTCAAACTCAGGTTCAAACCCAGTCAATCACTGGAGCAGCAAACAGGGAGAAGATGCCTTATTTGAACAGGATTAGTACACAGACAGGATATGACATCACATTACAGGATGAGGATATCCTGTCTAACGTCCCCATTGACCTTAGGACACAGTTCAGTATATAGAGTTTTTTATTTCAACTAAAGTACAGTTATATCAGACATGGTTAAGTTTTTACAGATAAATACAACATAATTCCCAGTGCTCTTTGATTACATCAAAACATAAATACATAGACTTCTTGACGCTCCCCATTCACAGTTTCAGGATTTGAATAGGCATTACATAGTTTTCAGAGTTGGTTTTTCCATTTATACAACCAATCAAAACAAATCTAATCTAAGGCCAGAGAGAAAATATATGTTCCTGCTATTTGTACTGTACATGGTGATGACATATAAAATAGAAGTCATACGAGAGTCCAACCAACCCCCATTCTAGATGGCAATGTGAATAGCCTAGTAGCTCCAACTAAACTTGTTACTTGTCTTGTAATCTGTTTCTTTTATGTTTTCAGTGTACATCCATTAGTACCCTGACTGTTCTGAAACCACGTACTACTTTATAACCAACTAGAGAAAAGCAACAAGGATTTGTAATGATGACTGTGTGTACGTCCCACATGGCACCCTATTCCCTGTATAGTGCACTACATTTCATCAGGGCCCATAGGGAATATATAGGGAATAGGGTGCCATTTGGGACAAAGCCAGTGCATCATATGTATAATGGCTGCTACAAATTTCTCCTTCCTTTCAGCCCTAAATATAGCCTCACCCGGCCAACAACAGAATCAAGGGCTTATACTGCCAATGTCTAAAACAACAACAAACATTTGATGTTAATATCAACATAATATACCATATTGAATTTCATAAATATTTGTGCTATTATTGGGAGGAAAATAAATATCCTGTCTCCTAAATGCACCTCAAAGAATACATGACTGTGTTGGGTAGAGCTGCTGACATGAATAGATCCAGTGTATGAATGTATCCAGGATTATGGTTACATATAGCTCCTTCTACCAGGTTTCTTATTGGTTCAGCATAAATACATGCTAACAGCATGAACAGCAGATAGAACTCCTATTTGGTGTGCTGTTGCCATAGAAAAATTACCCGTTTTACCTTGAATCTGTTCTGCAGGAGTGGTAGAATATTCTATCAATAGTCAGTGCATGGCAGAGAACTAACTGATCAAATTAACAAATTATTTATCAAAGTATAAACTAGAGTCCAGTGTTATGTTAATAGTGTTAACCACCAATCAGTTAATTATTGATTGATTGATAGCAAACCACAATCCAATGTTAGAATAATATTATTATGGCATGTCAGTGGATTTACATTCTCTTCTGCTGTCTGCCATGAATAAATATAATCCCTTGAGAGAGGGAAACAGTATATTATGGCCAGGGAAAAGATTTAGGCCTAGAGAAAACATAATATCCTTACATGGAATGAAACAGTGGAAGGTTGTAGAATAATGGCAAGCATGTTGGTTGTTAAAGTAAGAGAAAACCAAATCTTCAAAGAGTTAATCTCATGTGTCATGCAGAACTCTGGATGCCATAAACATCATGCATCTATCTACCTGGTACTGAGGCTAGAACTGTGTCTCAAATGGCACCCTATCCCCTTTATAGTGCACTACTTTTGAACAGGGCCCATGGAGCTCTGGTCAAAAGTAGTGCACTATATAGGGAATAGGGTGCCATTTGAGCTGTAACCTAGAACTGAAATAACACTGTTGGTGGTCTCCAACGTAAAATACCAATATTGTAATATAATATATGATCTGTTGTTTATACAGTATGCACATGTAGCTAGCTGCTTGTCACAAGTAATATGACTGTTCTGTTCCTCACCATTTCAAGTCAGTTAGCTTCTCTAAACTGTTTAAGTTGAATTGGAAAAGAAAAGAAAAAGGAATGTCAATAAACCAAATACTGACCTTCTGTCAAACCCCCTGAGCCTTTCATTAATACACGGAGGAGATCAATAGGACAATTGATTAAAATCTAAATGAAATTATTTATTCTAAATTTAATTTTAAATAGTCTTAGAATTTGTTAGACAATAACAGTGAAATGTCCCTCATACTCAACAGATCCACATCCCCAGTGCAATGACGTGGTATTACAATAACAGCCTGACCTCCTAGTCTGGAATACACACTGGATATGTCTCTGTTTCACTGTTGATTCGCTTAGAGTGATATTCAGAGTGATATTCAGAGTGATATTCAGAGTGATATTTAGAGTGATAATCAGAGTGATATTCAGAGTGACATTTAGAGTGATAATCAGAGTGACATTTAGAGTGATAATCAGAGTGATATTCAGAGTGACATTTAGAGTGATAATCAGAGTGACATTTAGAGTGATAATCAGAGTGATATTCAGAGTGACATTTAGAGTGATAATCAGAGTGATATTTAGAGTGACATTTAGAGTGATATTCAGAGTGATATTCAGAGTGATATTTAGAGTGATATTTAGAGTGATATTTAGAGTGACATTTAGAGTGATATTTAGAGTGATAATCAGAGTGATATTTAGAGTGATATTTAGAGTGATATTTAGAGTGATATTCAGAGTGATATTCAGAGTGACATTTAGAGTGATATTCAGAGTGATATTTAGAGTGACATTTAGAGTGATATTTAGAGTGATAATCAGAGTGATATTTAGAGTGATATTTAGAGTGATATTTAGAGTGATATTCAGAGTGATATTTAGAGTGATATTCAGGGTGACATTTAGAGTGATATTCAGAGTGATATTTAGAGTGATATTCAGGGTGATATTCAGAGTGATATTCAGAGTGACATTTAGAGTGATATTCAGAGTGATATTTAGAGTGATATTCAGGGTGATATTCAGAGTGATATTCAGAGTGACATTTAGAGTGATATTCAGAGTGATATTTAGAGTGACATTTAGAGTGATATTCAGAGTGATATTTAGAGTGATATTCAGGGTGATATTCAGAGTGATATTCAGAGTGACATTTAGAGTGATATTCAGAGTGACATTTAGAGTGACATTTAGAGTGATATTCAGAGTGATATTTAGAGTGATATTCAGAGTGATATTCAGAGTGATATTCAGAGTGACATTTAGAGTGATATTCAGAGTGATATTTAGAGTGATATTCAGGGTGATATTCAGAGCAATATTCAGAGCAATATTCAACCCGATATTCAGAGCAATATTTAGAGTGATATTTAGAACGATATTCAGAGTGATATTTAGAGTGATATTCACAGTGATATTCAGAGTGATATTCAGAGTGATATTCAGAGTGATATTCAGAGTGATATTTAGAGTCATATATAGAGTGATATTTAGAGTCATATATAGAGTGATATTTAGAGTGATATTCAGAGATATTTAGAGGGTATCTCTGTTAGATAGCATCTCTGGTAGGGCACAGTTAGGGTGCATCCCAAATGGCACCCTATTCCCTACTTTTGACCAGAGTCCTATGCGGACTCGTCAAAGGTAGTGCACTCTATAGGGTATAGGGTGCAATTTGGGATGCATACTTAGATAGCATCTTTGTTAGGGCACAGTTAGATGTCTGTCTCTGTTTCTGCTTTTACAGTGGAACGGGGCTCGGGGCTATATGAAGATATCTTACCGTAACTATGGAACATTTACTAGTACGATGGATTCTTTGTTTTTCCAAGTACTCTATCATAATTTATGTAACATATGGTAAATCTACTACTGTGCATTAGGGCTCTGGTGTGGCTGGACTGGGGGAGTGGGGAGGGATATTCTCTGCTGGGCATGAGGTTGTAGACTAACCATGTTGCCAGATCTGTTCTGCTTCAGCTAACTCCTCTGTGTTATAATAGCAGATGAAGCAGAAACCAATCTGGCAACCTTGCTAGTAAAGTAGTCAAATCTACTGCAGGGGGTGACCAACCATCCTCCTGGAGAGATATAGCCTCCTGCAGGCTTTTGTTCCAGCCCTGCTCTAACACACCTGATTTAAGATAATCAAGGTCTTGGGGACCAGCTGATTAGTAGAGTCTGGTGTGTTAGAGTAGGGTTGGAATAAAATCCTGCGGGAGGGTATCTCTCCAGGAGGAGATTGGACGCCACTGATCTAAAGCAATCATTCTAGGAACACTTTCTAGAGATACCAGAAATCAAATCATCATTTTATCAACTCTTTTTTACTGAAATAAAAACATAAATTACACACCATTCAAATAAAATCTTATTATCTAATTAGTATAGGGCCTATAAGGTAAACAAAATGACATAAAAGTATAATATAATATAACTATAATAATTGTATTATATCACACTGTCGTGAGTA